AGGCCTAGGCAGTCCTTTTGGGCTTTAGGTCCTTGAATACCAAGGGATTGTGCGTGCCCAAGGGCGAAAATGCCCTTTGTGGAGGGGGATTCTAGTCCTTTTCCCCTAAATAAGAGGAGAGAGGGGGGGGGGGAGGGTGGTGGTGGTGGTGGGTTATTGTGTCCTAAACCCCTTTTTTTACCGTTTAGAGTGGAAAAAAATAGAAAAAAGCCGCATTTTTGCATTTTGTAAGATTGATCAAGTAATTCAAAGTTTTGAAAAATCGATCCAAAATTCATCCTTTTGGTTTGGATTTGATTTTGTCGATTTTAAAAGCTTATTAGAGACGGTTTTGGGAAGAATTGGAGATTGGGAAACATCAAAAGTGGAAGATTGAAGATCGAGCAATCTAGGTTAGTGAAAAAACTTCTTATTTGAGATTGCTTTTGTTATTTCGAAATGTCTTCTTCTGGTTATATTAGAACGTCAATGGACTGTAGACTATGTGTTATTTCTAGTACTGAATTTGAACGTTGGATTATATTTTCCTATTTCTCTTAATGTGTTGTTAACTAGATGTCCAAGTCTCAAATACTTTGAACCTCAATATGCAATTTTTTTTACTGTGTATGGAGTTTGGACTAATGGTATGGAGTGTATGGACTATGGATGGACTATGTGTTATGCATGCTTAATGTGTTATGCCTCAACATGCATTTTTCCATAGAATTTGGACCTAAAACCATTAGATTAGACACCTACTCATGTTCTTCCACCTGGGCTGACGAGGCGGCTGCATAGGCGGTGGGCAGCCAGGACAACCCCGGCCGGCTAAGTGCAGCCTGGCTTTTTTTGGATTATTGCTTTCACCTTTCTTGTGATATAACCCAATTTTCTCTGGCTATCTATGAACTTTTTGGCAAATTGGGACCGTTCTAAGTAGTTTGTCCCATCTAGCTCTATATGTAGTGATAATCAATCTTGGATGATCAGATTGACTGCTTCCCAAGGAAATATCATGCTTGATTTCTAACATTTTCTTCTCTCGAGAACTTGAAACCCTAATTTTTTTCTTTTTCCCTTCAAGGTACTAATTCCTTAGTTTCAAAGTTTGCAAAGATCCCCTTTTTCTGGTTTCTTTTGGCAAGAAAGATATGGAGTGTATTTATGGGACTTTTGTGTGGGATAAAAAAAAACGTCTAGGGCTTTTTACTGAGTTTAAGATACCTAAGAGTTTAGGATTAAATTTATTGGTAAAAGAAAATTGAGTTGATCCTGCCGGAAATGTGTGATTGCTGGAAATATGAGGTTGCTGGAAATGAAAAGAGTTTGGGATAAAAACTTATGTATAGGCAAGGAAAACGAGATGATCTTGCTAGAAATAATATGTTACTAATACACCGTCGCTTCAAGCCCAAGAAGAGAGAATAATTATGGTTCTAGTGTCGCTGGAGGCAATAGATATCCTATGGTCTCAGCCCTGCTTTGTTACCATGTTAAGATGGAGATAGAGGAGAGAGAATGTAATGTTCAAGCACATGATAAAGCAAATATAGATGTCTTTGCACTCTATACAAATTGTGGGGCAATTTGCCGTATGTATACACTGATCCCTGTGGAATTTGCAATATTGGGAAGTCAACATGTGTAGCTGTTACAACAAGAAAATAAAATATTGCATAAAATGGTTCATACCCACGTTGAGACCCAAATATAATAGCTATTACAACAGTAAAATAAAATACCTAAATATGATACATGTTACAACAGGAAAATCACTTAAATCATCATCATTTTAGCCATTTCCCAATTAATTGGGGTCGGCTACATGAATCTTGGTTCTCCATTCTGCTCTATTAAAGGTCATATCCTCAGTGAGACCATAAGTCCCCATATCTTTTCAGACTACTTCCAACCATGTCCTTTTGGGCTTGCCTCTTGCCCTTTTTAGTCCTTCTATTTGAACTAATTCGCACCTCCTAACAGGTGTTGTACTTGGCCGGCGCCACACATGGCCAGCCCATCTAAGTCTACTCTCTCTCAGTTTATCGCCTATTGGTGCGACGCCTAAATTCTCTCGAATAGATTCATTGCGAATTCTATCCCTTTTTTTCTTCCCACTCATTCATCCCAACATCTTCATTTCTGCTACACTCATTCTATGGGTATATTATTTTTTGTTCGCTCAACATTCTGCCCCATAGAGCAAAGCTGGTCTCATCGCTGTCCTATAGAACTTGCCCTATAGCCTCATTGGTATGCGATGATTACATAAAATTCCACTTGCACATTTCCACTTCGCCCACCCAGCTCTAATTTTATGTGCGACATCTTCCTCGATCTTTTCCTATTCTACCATATTTAGGAAAATCACCTAAATATGGTAGAATATTTTACACATTATCACAACATTCAAGTTTTCGAAATCGACATGATGCCCATGGTGGTTACTGCAGGTTTTAGGTTTCTTTGATGGGCGTGGGCCCCATAATAGTCACTATAATTTTCTCCCTCATTAAATGCACTCACTTTCATTTCATCACGTCAAGTAAATGGTGCATTTTCAAAATAAGTTTAGGGATTCTTACACAATTGCTTCTTATAGTGCTAGAACTTGATGGCTACTTTTTAAAGATAATTAGGAAATAAATTTTGGTTCGATTTGAATGACATTCCTAGTAGTGCTAGAACCAGCGGCTATTTTTTAAAGATAATTGGAAAAGAGATTTGGGTTCAATTTGGATGACAATATAGAGCAACACAATGGCATAAGCAAATTCCATTCTCAATTATAAATATGAAATCAAAATCTCAGTTTCAAGTATACATGAGATAATATTTTTATGTTTTGTAAACACCACCACAAATTCCCTAGTGGATTACGGGGAACCCTGACCTTAATTCTAATACTGTGATTATACATCAATTTCAATACTAGGGGAACGCTTGTTTAGGTCTTTATGACCTTTGAGGATCTTGGTTCCAATACTAGGGGAACCATGTTAACCATACTCAATACATTGAATCCAATGCTAAGGGATTCTTGCATAAGATTACTCTAGAACCTTGAACCTTTTTCCCTATGAAACAAATTTCCTGATGATTTTTTATGCGGTTCTAAGTTGTTGGGGGTTCATTCCCATAGATGTAGGAATCTTAAGTCCAATTAGGTTGAAACTCGATCCCATAGAGGTAGGAATCTTGATTCCACATGTATTGAAACTCTATTCCAAACTGGTATGGATCTCGATTTTAAAGAGGTAGGAATTGCGATTCCATTTGGTTGAAACTCAATTCCATAAAGGTAGGAGTCTCGATTCCATTTGGTTTGGAACTTGACTCCGATAAAGTAGGAATCTCATTTGCTACAATTCCCCATGCATGGATAGCAATTCCGACATCAGGAATCTTCCAGCCACCCACGATTTCTCAATTCCGATTCCTATATCGATTTGGAATCTCAGGCGTGTCCAACAACTATGAGAGATTCCATTTTGGAGTCATGTCTTATTTTGGGGGCTCCTTCATTGGCTCCATCATCATCTCATGTCAATGAACTGTGAGGACCCAGTGGATACACCATTGGACTTAGTATCCTTTCCAATATCGATGTATACCTATGAAGAAAAAAAAAATGGCCTTCTGTCAAATTGAAAAAAACAAAGAAAAAGGGATAGATTGTTGTAGCAGTTATTGTTCTAAAATGATGATGGATGGTGAAGACCCTATCAACTATGCTTTTTACCATGTTCCACTGGAATATTGCAGTGTTCAAGAACTTGAATGAGTCTGCTTGGACTCAAAACCTCCCCAAACTCCCCTTGCCACTTGCGGGGTGGGGGGGTGCTGGGGGATTAGAGAGAGAGAGAGAGAGAGAGAGAGAGAGAGAGAGAGAGTAGTATAGTACGTACGAACGAAACAAACAAGTAGTAGTAGTAGTACTTACTTACTAACTACTTAACCTAACTACTACTAGTTACGTACGACAGTAGTAGTACGACG